TCTAGGTATTTCATATGGTGAGTGTGTATAATGATATCGTTATAACCTACTAAGTCCACTACTGAACATAGGCCTCCCCTATTGATTGTCTTAGAGGAAGGATATTTGCCATAGTTGCCACGCTTGGCAAGCGGGTTGGCAACCGCAGTTATTTCTTTTCCATTCCAACCATTTCCTGTTTCAGCATCCCTCAGGCACCTTTAACGATATTTACGCGACGATATGGTATAGTGGCTATTCTTACACCGCACCGCCACTACACGGTTGATATAGTGTGTCGAAAGAGGCTCCATGGTAGGTATGTCAATATTTGAAAATTAATAAGGTGATAGGACTTTTTAAAGTGAATTTATAAAATGTTGTACTCACCAAACTTAGCAATGTGTTAAGAAAGGCTTGCAGAGCGCACACTGACAGTACCAACAGAAGCGATGTAACGTTCAGGGAGCACGGTGCGACGTCAGGCTGCAAAAATAATTTAAAAGATATAGTAAGAATATAAATATAAATATACTATAAAATTATATATATAATAAGAGGCGTTACGAGAGACTAATGGATACGGGTCTTTGATTTGCATTTTTTTATAGGAGAGGGGGCAAAGGAGCATGCGGCTCACCTGATGGTAAGTGACTACCGCCGCCCATGAACAACTGCAACACTAGGGAGGGAATTGCAGATGCGTTGCCGGCCTTTTTAAAAGGAGTACGCTCTTTTCTTGAAGGTCCCTAAGTCGTATCGGTCCGGAAAAATCGCTGATGGTAATCGATTCCACAAGGAAGTCGTGCGAGGAAGAAAACATCTTCTAAATCGCACAGTGGTGGACCGCCAATCATCCTGATGGTGTGGACGGTATCGGGAGTTCTGCCGCGATGTGCGTTCGTGAAATTTGGCGGCTGGGATTAATCCGAACAATTCCTCAGAGCACTCCCCATGGTAGATGCGAAAGAAAATGCAAAGGGATGCAACATCTCTTCGCAGTGCCAATGAATCGAGCCGATCGGAAAGGGCTCGGTTGTCGACGATTCGAGCCGCTCTGCGCTGGATGCGGTCAAGTGGAAGGAGTTGGCACTGGGGAGCCCCTGCCCAGAGATGCATTGTATCTTTGTGGATCATCATCATCATTATTACAGCTCTCCACAAGTCCACTGTTGAACATAGGCCTCCCTCAAGGAATGCCACAAAGCAAGGTCCTGAGCCACCTGCATCCATCGACTTCCTACATGTCTTACCAGGTCGTCACTCCATCTAGTGGGGGGACGCCCTACACTTCGCCTGCCGGTACAAGACTGCCACTCGAGAACCTTTCTTTCCCATCGGTTGTCGGTTCTTCGAGCTATATGGCCAGCCTATTGCCACTTCAGCTTACTAATCCGTTGGGCTATGTCGGTCACTCTGGTTCTACTGCGGATATCCTCATTTCTAAGTTTACCACGCAGAGAAACTCCGAACATAGCCTTCTCCATAGCTCGCTGAGCGACCTTGAGCTTCCTCATCCGGCCAGCAGTGAAGGACCACGTCTCAGTTTCATAGGTCATCACTAGCAACACGAACTGGTTGTACATCCTCGATTTCAAGTTTTGAGGTATACCTGACGAGAAGAAGTGCCGTAATTTCTCGAACTCTGCCCAACCGAGTTTAATCTTTCGATCGACGGATTCTCTGTGGATACGATTACGGAATACATACACACGATGGGATCTGTGACAGAAAACATCTGGCCACCAAACTCCAGCATTCAAGCAATTATTGTAAGATAACACTTTTCAGGTCCTGCGACTACGTCACAGTGTATGAGTGAAGCCAGCCACAGTCGAGGGTGTGCCTGGTGTACACGATTTTTTTTGTATAGAGATAGTTTAAGGGTCGGAGAGTGACATAGGTTACTTTAATCTTAAAATATGTAACACTCCTGTAGAAAAGATCTGGAGCGTAATTATTTAAAATGATTTTGATTAAAGGAGAATGCCAGATCGTGCCCCACCTTGTACAAAAAAGGTAAAAATATGAAAAGTAATCTTATAAATTTAGAAGTTTTTTGTGATAAATCGTTATTTTGTACAACTTGCGGTAAAATATTATTAAAAAAAGGAATTCAATTATTAATATTTACATTTCCAGTCTTTTCTAATAAAATCTGCATTTCTTTGTACGAAAAAGTACATACGTATGCGTAAAGTATCAAACAATACATATTTCTATTAAAATATATTACAAATATTTGTCATATAAAAATGTTACTTATCAATTTTTATTTTCAATTATTATTATAAGTCGGGAACTCGGGGCCATTTCTTTTAATTGTTGGCTCATGGTGCGACATAAGGGGTGGTAGATTTTACGCCGCTAACACACGGCGAAGGTACACGTATTCTTCAGCACGCAGCTGCATTTGATTAGATCGTATATAATCTAATCTTTCGGTTTCAATTTTTGCGTACATGTCAACAATAAACTGATTAAATAAGCCACGAAAACGTTGAAAGTATACAAATCTATTCCGTCTCACTTGCAAGTCGTAACAATAAAATTGAAGGCATGACATCTTTTTATTATAATTAGGTGCGCCTGTACGCGGATCAGTTTGGTATAAAGCGAAATTATAACCATCTTCCCCTCGAGAGTATATCAAAGGATATTGCAAACTATCGTAAGCCCTGTGGGTTTCATAAATACGTTGCAAATGATTGTCTCTGGAACGGATAACGATATCACGCCTACCACATTCCTGGTCGACCAATACTACAGCAAATTTATTCGTGGATGAAACGTTATAACGCCCAGGGTGTTCCTGAGTTGGACGCCTATCGGCATTTATAACAATTTTATAATTGTTATCACCATCTTGAGGAAGAGCTTCTAATGCCGATTTAAAACTGCATACATACGAATTAACCTGATGCAACATGTTCTGAAGTTGTGAAATAAGTTCAGTATTTAATTTCGGGAAATATTGATTTCTTATATTCGACTGTTCGTTGCAGTCGGATACAAAATATATTTGAAGAAACTTAGGTTGGTCTTCAGGCAAAAGGGATCCTATCAAATGGTAAACCTGATCTTGTATCTTAAAAGTAGGCATGAAAGGAACTTCTGAGATTTGTTGAGCACCATAGGATGTCATTTGAAATGCACTATTATAAGTGCGAATATTGTCTAAGAACTGTTTAGATTGCACATGTTCCCCTAAAAGTAGTGACTTCAAAGGTTCCTTCAAGCATGATTCAGTATTCACGCGCGATGGCTTATTAGCGTATTTCATGTATAACTTTGGTGTTTCTATACCGATTTCTATGATTCTTTTTTATTGAATAGATAATAATGTTAACTTTTTTTTTAATTAGGGATGAGTGAGAGTATTATAAACGTAAGAGTAGACAAATATAATCAGAAAGCTCCGAAGTGCTAAGCTATCGGGAGTTACACGTGTTATTGTGAGTCAACCATAAAAGATAGACATATGCTGTCCTAGGATATTTTTTATAAAATTTTAAGGAGAACATTTTTGTTACACATGATTTTTGTGTAGCTTTAACCATTACGGCTGCACACGCGACGGAAGCTTAAAAAATGGAGTAATTTCTCCCGTTTCCCCAACATTTACCTTCACTGCTCTGCTCCTATTGACTATAGCGTGATGAAAAGTATATTATAACCTGCCCAGGAGTATGAAGAATGATTATACTAAGTTTCGTTAAAATCCGTCGAGTAGTTTTTGTTTCTATAACGAACATATACGAACATATACATTGTATTGGAAATTTATCCATGTAATAAATTTCCAATACAATGTAATATTGTTATATGGAATAAATGACTATGACTAAGACTATGACATACAGACAGACAGACAGATAGACAGACAGACAAAAATTTTACTGTTTGCATTTTTGGCATCAGTATCGATCACTAATCACCCCCTGATAGTTATTTTGGAAATATATTTCATGTACAGAATTGACCTCTCTACAGATTTATTATAAGTATAGATATAGATATAGATAGGATCCAGCACCCAGCCATCGTCTCTATTAAAATTATCATGTTTTTTGATGGAAGGAATCGGTGTTCATTAGCGAGGATTTGTGGTCTATCAAATCTGATGTAATGTTGGGGGCGATCTTGTACGTGTTCACAGATTGCAGACTTCCCGGAGCGTCGATTCTTCACAACAACTATGTGTTCTTTAACTCGGATTTTTATTGCTCTTTTAGTTTATCATATGTAAGAGAGACCACATTCACAATCAAGCTTGTCAAGCAAATTTACACTGCTGCATCTTACAGAGGGACCTTACACTTGACTGATGGTAAAAACTGACTTATCTTCTTCGGCGGCTTGAAGTAAGTTTTAATGGAAGCACGCTTCAAGATGTAGCCAATCTTGTCAGTGACACCTCTGACATATGGCAGTATAGCAGCCGTACCCTCGCTTGTGGCTGACTTCACTCGTTCACTGTGACGTAGGCACGGAACCCAAAGATTATTGTCGTGCAAAAATACTTGACGTGTTGGAGCTCGGCTACCAGGTGATTACTGTCACAGATCCCTCGTGGTCTCTGAAACAAAGATTTCCCCAGGGTAGCTAACTGTGAAGGATGGTGATGGGAATCACCGTTTAAATATCTATCTTTGTGTGGGTTTTCTTTCTATACATAATGTGGCTCAAGGTTTTATCAGGACTCCAAACTGCAATACTTCAAGATACTATAAGTTCATACTGCATAGTTCTGAACAAAAATTAATAAGTTTTATCAGGAGGTAGTAGTGGTTAACTATGAAACTGGGACGTCGAACACCTCAGTCCCCAACTGTGACCATGGGTGCTATAAAGTCCTGGAAACGTCAGGAATTCAAAATAAGTTAATATACGCGATAAAATCCGTAAAAACTAGTTTTATTTAAATGTTTAGTGTTCGCATAAATATAAAAAATCAACATAAAATATAAAATACTCAGTAATTCTTTCATATCATTATAAAAAAAATTGTATAATTTAATTTAAAGTCTATTTTCAAAACTTACATCCACTGGCAGTTCTAAACTGTCGCCGATAATATTACATAAACTCCTATCGGTGCCTACTCCTGTCTCCACAATGTTCACGAAATTGTTGGCAATTGTTGGCATCCAGACTATGAATGATGATCCAATTCTGCATAAAAATTATTTCATCACAAACGAATATTTTGACATCCATCCATTATACCCTAAAACAGTTCGCTGCTGAACATATCTTACTCACAGATTGTCTCAGAGGGATAAGCAGTCTTTCAGAATTTTGAATTGTTATCAGGAAGATGTTTTTTTTTTTATAGGACAGGGTGTCAAATGAGCACACAGTCAACCTGACGGTATGTGGTTGTTGTGACCCATAGACATCTACATCTATCCTCAATAAAGTATGAAAATGCAGATGCGTTGTCACCCGTGAGGACTAAGATAGAATGCCTATTTTCCAATGAAAAGGGTCTCCGTTTCTCTACACTCACCCTAAGAAACACAGCAGTGTTAATCTACTATTTTACGCTGGTATTCTGTAAGAGCGTGGACCTTCCCCGGTCGAGCCGACACATTCATGCTTTTATTTTATAGAAGAGGGGGCAAATGAGCATGCGGCTCACCTGATGGTAAGTGACTACCGCCGCCCATGAACAACCGCAACACCAGGGGAATTGGAATTGGAACCAGGGAAATTGCAGATGCATTGCCAGCCTTTTAAAAAGGAGTAGGCTCTTTTCTTGAAGATCCCTAAGTCGTATCGGTCCGGAAAAATCGCTGGTGGTAAACTATTCTACATTGAATAGTTCATGCTACAACTATACTACTAATATAGCTGCAGCATGGCTCTACCACGTATAGAATCATATCAGGAAGAAGTTGCTTGCCCATCTATTGTTTCAGTTTTCCTTTGTCGCCTCTTACGATACTCACCGGATGATATGGGATAGTGAATGTTCATACACTACCACTACACGCTTAAATTGATTTATCTAATATATAAAAAATAATTTTTCTTTGTTTGTATTTTATGCGCTGCCATACCGTTCATCAAATTATGTCAACATATTATATGCATAATATGTTATAGGCATAATACAATTAACTTACAATAGGTGGCGCGCGTACCAACAAATTTATTTGAAAGTATACATCACTCAATTCCAATGAATGTATTATCATTCCTTAATAGCCGCGTACCCACCTAGCGCACAGGCTCGCGCGGCAATGCCTCGGCTGATGTGGAGTACTCGCGAGTCATGCCTCTGAGTTCCGGACAATACTATTGAGGCTGCCTCGCGAGCCTTCGCTCTCGATCCGCACACCGAGCCTTGCGCGCGAGCCTGTGCACTAGGTGGGTATCCGGCTATTAAACAATATAACTCTTCCAAATTTAAAAAGATATTTTGTTAATTATTGTTCTGTGGCAGAAACGCGTCGGGTACCAACTAGTACACACATAAAAAAATAATTTTCGTGTGTAATTTTAACAATTGCAAATGTCATTGAGTTAATATAATATATATATATATATATGTTACGGCCTACGGTTGCTCCCTTAAAGGATCCAATCCCCTGGGGCCCATCAGCAGAAGACTTCCCGAGCAAACGTAGGTCGGGCCTTAATGTGGCCACGTGGAATCTCTCTAATTACTCTAAAATATATGGGGGAGCGCTATACTACGGCCAGTCGACCGGAAGGAATTTGGCGGAGTTCACTTACCTCTATCCAAGGCGACTGGTCCCTCCGGAGTCGGTCAGGTCGCATGTGGTTGTGTAGTGCAAGGGAAAGAATGGTGATGTGGTGTGTATCTGGGTGTGACTGATGGTGATTGAACCTAGACCTTAGCCGTCGGCAGCAGCCCGAGCGTCGACACCGCTCCAACTTGAGGGGGCCTTTCGAGGTTATCCACAGTCACTTTCTTGGTTCACCACGATGACAGTCACTTAACTCTATCGTACTATTAACTAGCTTACAGAAGCCACTAACTATCGCGGGGTATAAGGTTACTACCGTTTCGCGTGGCAATAGATAGTTCTAAATACAGAGGCCGCACCAGCTTACATTGTCGAATGCACTTATACAGATTCTGAGTCGGACCCAATAAGTCCCGGGAAAGGCTATCCAAACAGGGAATGCGCGTTATAATTCCTAGACAGGATATTTACTAGACGCCCTAACTATTCCGCGGTTCCCGCACAAAATTAACAGCGTGCAAACATTAGCACATCTGGCAGATGACTGACTCGCTTGCGACCCGCGCGCCACTGCCACGCTCGGAAGAACTTCAGACCGGAATCGCGCCGAGCCGAGTGACATCTGGTGTCGATTCCGACAACAGAGTTTTGCGCGAACAAACCCCCGTCCCAGACATAAGGATTTAGGTCCGCGAGCAAACCGGTCAGCGGGACAAGGTCGAGACTGCAAGTTGCAAGACCGAATCTACAACCAAACTAGGCCACCTTAGGCAATCCATTAGGTCTTGCAACCCTAATCAACGCTTCAAAGATATCCCTAATGTGGCAAGCCGGAGGGTCAGCCTCCACTGGATGCCCCTCCTGGGCATCGCAGCACTTTAATAAGTCCTGTACTGGACAGAAGTCCGACGACCTCTTTCAAACACCTATCTGTGCCCCTATGATTAGTTCCGCAATCCGACCGGATCAGCTCTGCAAACAGCGACGCTACACGAAGCTGCCCCGACAAATTTTGTGCCAGCAGTTGCTTCAGTGCAGAGCGCACCCACAAATTCCACATACGTCGTCTGTGGAGAGCCAAACGAAACGCACAGATAGTCCCTAGTATGAATTTTCAACAAGTAGGCCTAGCCAGGCCACCCACCATAGTATCATTTACTAAAATAGTGCGGCAGCTGATTTCAATCTGATAATCTCCAAAACTAGCTAGCCTGTTAGGCAAGTAGTCCCATGCTCATATTTCAACTAATTTTTCAAAAGCATCAATGTTCAACTACAGAATTAATTCAACCAAATTAATCACCGATGCGCATAGGTCAACTTGCAAATTAAACAAAACAATAACGTAAGGGACAGCCCCACTTCTTCGCAAAGCAAAATGACCAAACATTATCATAAACATAAACATAATTTTTCAAATAGTGCGCCATTCAATTTCCTTTCAGCAAACAGACGCAACGATCAAATACAGTGATTAAATATATGTATAAAACACATGCAGTAGCATTTAAAAGAGTAGATTAAATTCAATCCTTTTAATTTAAACCGCTACAAATAGGAAAATTTCGCGGAAAGCTCAAAGCATTTTTTAATTTTAATTCAAAGTATTTTTTAACTAAGTGCTCGACCAAACCAAATCTAATACCCCTTGACAGCGTGATTCAACGCTCCAGGGGGGCCCCAATCTCCCCACCACCAAGGGGAGGCCACATGGCGTGAACCCGAGATAAATAGAGCACAACCTTTAACAGTTGCAACTCGGGTTGTACGCTTTCACTGAGGCCGTCGGCAACAGAACATTTTGACAAGTGGACTGTTGACGGCTTAAGGCTCAGTGGAGGCGGCCGTGGTGGGAGCTAAGGCGGCAGCTAGACAGGGCCGCCTCCATCAAATGGGGAACAGTGGTACACCAGTCGCGGCCACTCAGCTAACGGAAGTGAGAAGGGTCCAGCGGACCGATGAGTGGCCGTGAAGTTCCTCTCCACACGCTGAGGGGGGGTGATGACACCCCCGCCCCTGGGGGAATTACCCCCCGACTGGTCGGGGGAGGGACCCCTTTCAAACTTAGGGGCCTGATGGCTGGCCGGCGGGCGCCGAGAGTCGCCCGGCAGAGGGCGTGGCTGAGCGCCCCCGCCCGTGGGGGTCGAGGGCCTGGCAGAGCCCCGAGAGGAGACGCCGTTCGCACCCAGGCACAAAACGGCATGGTGATTGCCCTGGCAATGCAGACAGGGCCGTCGATGCGGACAGTCTCGCTGGAGGTGCCCTCCCAGACATGACCAGCACCAGCGGCGCTCCTTGGCGATAGTTCGCCTCGCTGGAACCGGCTCACCTAATAATTTCGGGCACGACGCTACCCGATGGTCAGATGCTCGACAATAGGAGCAGGGGGGGGTTGACGACGACTTGCCTGGAGGATTCAGCCTCTCACTGGGCACGGCTCGTAAGTGGTCAACGGTGCCCGCCGCGCTCTCTATCTGCCGGCACTGCTCCTCCAAAAACCACAGCAGGTCATAGAAGGGCGGAATATAGGAGGCCTCGTCCCCGCCGTACCTCTCCTCAAAATGGATTCGAAGGTCGAGAGGTAGACGGGACAGCACGATGCGGAGCAACAAAAAAGCCCATTCGCCCACTGGTAATTCCAGCCGCCTCAACGTATTACAGGCCACTAAGACTGGATCCAACAGGTCCGGACGTAGTCTGGCTCGGTCACTAAGTAGCGGGAGGCTTAGAAGCTGCTTAACCTGTTCGTCCGCAATTCGCCGGACGTTGGCGTATCTTCTGGCTAGGAGATCCCGAGCAGTCTGGTAGGCGTCGTCCGACAATCTCAAGTGGCCGACGACGCCCAGGGCCTCCCCCTCCAGTGAGGCCAGGAGGTACACCATCTTTTGGCTCGGGGTCAAGTCACTCCGGGCGTCCACTAGGCTGTCGAAAAGACCAACGAAGGTCAGCCATTCGGAAAGGACCCCGGAGAACTTTGGCAGGTCCAGAGTTGGGAGTCGTCCCAACAGCTCCGGCTGAAGCTGCTTCAGAGAGGACTCGGACAGGTCACTCGTCCGAGCTTCACGCGCCTCCTCGGCATACCTGCCTTCAGCCTCGATCAACTCGTCCGTGAGCCACAAGAACTGCTCATAGTCCGCGAAGCAGGAGTCCAGGACTCCCTTCTCCACATCCGAATCCTCGAGCTCAGCGTAAGCCTCCTCCACTGCGGCCCTTCGAGCATCCACCTGCTCGAACCGCTTCATCAAGTTATGGACCCTATCCGGTCGACCTATCAAAGCATGGGCGCTTGTGGCCCAGCGTAGCTCAGTCCGCAAACAACGGATCAGTAGCTTGGGCGATGTCATCACTATTAAATGCAAATTACGACGCGGCTGGTACAGATTACAAAGATAACAAACAAAAAATAAAACAAAAATTAACAGTTAATAAATGCAGTTCCTATCAAATCGCGTTGAATAGAAATTACACAAATACGAATTACTACGTATCAACCAAATACAAGTTAGCACAAAAGAAAAGGCACAAATCAAATTAACAAATAACAAATACTAGTGCGATCAAATCAAGTTAAATTCAAATAACCATCTACCTACATGACGTATATCTCTAGAAAACTCCCGCTTGCGCAACCTAGGGCGCGGTTTTTCAAATCTACCTACTAACCAAAAAAAAGGCAAGCAACAAACAACAAAGGGAAATAATTCTATTATTACGTACAAAAAATATTTTTACGTATTACGGACGGGCGTGATTGTAGATACAAATTAAACCAATCAAACCAACGCTCCCTGCCACCAAAATTGTTTAATGTTTATCAAACACTATAGTCGGGATCGACCGGGAATCGAACCCGGAATCGCGCTCTGCTACCAAAATGTTACGGCCTACGGTTGCTCCCTTAAAGGATCCAATCCCCTGGGGCCCATCAGCAGAAGACTTCCCGAGCAAACGTAGGTCGGGCCTTAATGTGGCCACGTGGAATCTCTCTAATTACTCTAAAATATATGGGGGAGCGCTATACTACGGCCAGTCGACCGGAAGGAATTTGGCGGAGTTCACTTACCTCTATCCAAGGCGACTGGTCCCTCCGGAGTCGGTCAGGTCGCATGTGGTTGTGTAGTGCAAGGGAAAGAATGGTGATGTGGTGTGTATCTGGGTGTGACTGATGGTGATTGAACCTAGACCTTAGCCGTCGGCAGCAGCCCGAGCGTCGACACCGCTCCAACTTGAGGGGGCCTTTCGAGGTTATCCACAGTCACTTTCTTGGTTCACCACGATGACAGTCACTTAACTCTATCGTACTATTAACTAGCTTACAGAAGCCAATAACTATCGCGGGGTATAAGGTTACTACCGTTTCGCGTGGCAATAGATAGTTCTAAATACAGAGGCCGCACCAGCTTACATTGTCGAATGCACTTATACAGATTCTGAGTCGGACCCAATAAGTCCCGGGAAAGGCTATCCAAACAGGGAATGCGCGTTATAATTCCTAGACAGGATATTTACTAGACGCCCTAACTATTCCGCGGTTCCCGCACAAAATTAACAGCGTGCAAACATTAGCACATCTGGCAGATGACTGACTCGCTTGCGACCCGCGCGCCACTGCCACGCTCGGAAGAACTTCAGACCGGAATCGCGCCGAGCCGAGTGACATCTGGTGTCGATTCCGACAACAGAGTTTTGCGCGAACAATATATATATATATATATATATATATATATATATATATATATATATATATTATCAGGTTATCAACAGTCCAATACAAGACATAAGGGTATATCGAGAAACTCCCACTTGTTTGTGCAGTATAAAGTTCACCGTAGGTGCTGTGCGCGAGACGAGTGTGGTCGTTCTACTAGTGCTAAGATAGTGTCGTGGTTCTGTTCGTTGTTGTAATTCTTCTAGTGCAGGCAAGGAAAATTGGTGTTGCTGAGAGGCTGCCCTGTGTTACATTGAGATAAGTAGTGTTGCTGTTAATTACGTTCCTCACGTTACACTGGTGTGTGATTGTGGCGGAGACGTGTTACGGTGTGGTCGAACTGTAATTTCACTATACTGAATGTATGGTGCGTTACGTTGTCTTATTACTGATAATGATTAATTGCGTAAGCACGAGAGCAAGTTCAACATCTGCTCTCACACTTTTATTATTTTTAACAATTAACGCTATCCTGATGTATTTCCGACATCAGAAGTGGGATCTCTTGTTGTCATTTCTGATGTATATATATATATATATATATATATATATATATATATATATATATATATAATTGCAAATGACCACCACTACCATAGTAACTCGCTTATTCAACTTTATGATTTTTCTTTATAACATTTTACTATAATGCTCCTAAATAGAAGCAAGTATCCGGGACAAGATACTACTAGTGAGCCTACTTACTCCAGAACATTAGTAAATAATTCAGTTTATCTACTCATGTGCTGTCCGTCTTTATTATTTAGATAAATGAAAAGTATATATATATACAATATATAACGTAATTAACGCACACCCTCAGTCACCCCAATTAGTATATTATGTTATAATCATTATACATACACTAACTTTTTAATTAAACATGTTTATGCATTGATTATTTATTAAATTAGTTATACCAATTCCGGAACACTGTGGTGGTCACAGTATAAATCCACGAACGCTCGCAGTCGCTCACGTAGGTAAAGGTTTTGAGGGTCTTTCTATGACAGTAGGTACCTATTCGCTCGCGGTCGAGACGAGTTAACGCCGCTGCCGCTTGACATAACTTTAGGTAGGTATTAGTGCCGAAAAAAGCCAACAATACACAATTGTTAATGTTAAAAAAATACCTACCTATGAACACTAACTGATGTTCGTACTCCGACCATCGTGTTGTTTATTTAAGTCTAGTAAACATTTGATCGCATCTTTCAATCACACTTTTCAACCATTGGACCTTCAACTCTGAATAATTTTGTTTATTGATTATGATACAATGTCAATAGGCAATATTCGTTACAAAATGTTATGAATTTGCATAACATTTGAATTGTAATTGTAAATAATAATAAACTGCTAAAACTAAGAGGCAATACGATAACATAATTCAAAGATGGCGTGTTTAAAAGATGTGAATCAAGATTACAATAATTTTAAGGATTAAATATTTAACTTCCTGATAGCCTAAACTCTCGTGCAACGTTGTATTTTAACGGCTCCGTGGTGCAGTGGCTTGGCAATTGAGTTAGTTAGCGCTAAGGACCGCGGGTCCGAATCCCGCACGGAACAATATTTGTATGGCCTACAAATATTTTTTTCGGGTCTGCATAATATTTGTCCTTGTGAAATTTATGTTTGTACACTGCCCCCACAATACAAGAGAAAATCCAAGTGTTGAGGTTAAAGTTTAAAAAAGAAAAAGAAAGAAAATAATTTAGAAAGCAATTCAGTATCATTTTTCACTATTCTAAAATCGTTCACTCATAGAATTACTATTTTTAGGTCCTCGGCACTTGTTGTCTCACTAAAATAAACTAATGATTTAATACGTATTAATATTTAATACGTACGTAATCAGGTGATCGGGGAGGTCAATGACCCGGCCGCTGCGACCTTTATAAGGTACTCCAAACTTTGTATTTGTAAAGACTTTAACATACTGGAAATAAGGTTCAAATTTCTTTATTTTGAATTGAATGACGGAATTTGTATTAATACAAATAAAACTGCACTTTTAAAAGTCTTATTGCCTTGAGTTACGGTCCATTTCAGTTTGTATTGACTGTACAGGTTTAGTGTGACTGTAAACTACGTAGTTTCAATTATTTTTGGATAAAAAATATAACTATATTAAAAATGATAGAAATCGATTCAATAAACAATTCCGAACAAACTACTTTCTCAAAGTGCGTTAATTATGTTACGTGTTGTATATATATAAATATATTTGATAATTCGCAGGAATTGATATTACTCACTGTATCATCAAAAACAGCGTAGTCATGATCACAGTGTACTTAAGAAGAGGCGCTTTAAATAGTGGCACGATTTGGTCCTTTGATGACGTCGGTTCGTCAAGTTGTTCCACATCCAACCTTAAACCCTTTATCTGAAAAGAAAACAGTGCTTCTTTTAAAATAGTTGTCATTATAATCAATATTTGCGAGTGATGTTTGGGGGTCCAGGACACTTGGTCTCGCAGGTTTCGTTGTCTTAATGAAACGTTAAATATATGTTAAAATACGTTTCAACAATGGGCGCAGGCCATCACTGTTTTCCAAAAGGTGTATTTTTTTTAAAGGATAAGGGTGACAAACGAGCACACAGTCCACCTGATGGTAAGTGTTTGCTGTGGCCCATAGACATCTGCATCTATCCTCGATTACTAATCAAAATGCAGATGCGTTGTCACCCGTGAGGACTAAGATGGAATGCCTCTTTTCCAGTAAAAAGGGTCTCCGCTTCTCTACACTCACCATACGAAACAGAGCAGCATTAAACTGCTATTTTACGCTGGTATTTTGTGAGAGCGTGGTCCTTCCCCGGTCAAGCCGACCCATTCGTGCTACAACTATACCAGTAATATAGTTGCAGCATGGCTCTACCACGTAAAGACAAAGTAAAGTGTATGAAGCAGTTTGTTAAATCACCACTTATAATAACAATTGCCAATTTCATAGATCAAACCAGGTTTGCTCGCGAGCACTGAATTACTACGGCTCTCAGAAATATTTTAAGAGGTATTAAAATCATGCATCACCCCATTTCGTCCCGTGGGTGTCATAAGAGGCGGCAATGGTAAACGCCAGACCCATCTTATGTCTTCCGATCGATAGCACAATCATCTCGTTTATATCAGACGTAAAATACCCAGACCGGAACAGGGCAGCAAAGTCAAAGGTTCACCAGTGAATCCGCTTGTCAAGTCGTTCCTGAAACAAGAGAATCCCATGTCTAGCAGTTGACTCTTACCGGCCAATAAAAAAAATATTTGAGTACAATTTTTATTATTTTCACGCTAGTAGTTGGAAAACAGAATATTTTTATGAATAAGAGTTAAATGGTAAATATTACTTGAATATCTTTTGCTGATTTCCCATTATTCCATCTGTGTATAGTTTTAATAATGTCTATAGCTTCATCTTCATGTCCTTTCGTAAACACGTATTTTGGGCTCTTTAGCATGAAGCATAGCCAGAGAGCAGCTAGAAGACTTGGTGTAGAATAGACGAGGAGTAGAGTCCGCCAAGAGTTCCAGTAGATGCCCAAGCCCGAAAGGTAGTAAGAAAACGGTAGAGGAATGATAGGTATGGCGATTACTGAAAAAATATGTTAAATATTAAAATAAAACTTAATTCATCCATAATATAGTAATAATAATAACATAATTTGAAATTATTATTATGACTAAAGGGTTTCTATTGTTTAAAATTTAGTTTTAGCTATACGACTTGTAACTAAATTCCTGTGATTCCTGTTAAGTGCGTTATCGGTATTCAAACGTATAGAAATAAATTTACTTCAAAATCATATTAAATTTAAATAACTTTTTATTTGGAAATTGTATGTGGCTTATTTTCTTACCTCTGAATTGGCCGGGAGTAAGAGTATTGGTCAAAGACCCCGCTTTACTGATGCCGATACGCTTGTCAGTTAATTCAGATGTGAATAACATTTTTTCACACGATTTTTTTTTTAGTAACAGCCACCCAAAGTTATGACAAATGCCATGCCTGTGTTTACATCTACATGTCCTTAATAGGTCCACCAGGTTGCTTATTACATACTGTATATAGTTAAAAAAAGATGCTTACCTGCTAGAATACCTTGGGATAGTAATAAAATGCTGTTGAGCAACAAGATCAGTAGATTCCTTTTACCCATGGGAACGCACTCACTGAGTAAGGTCAAAGATAATGGAAATTGACCTGCTGCACTGAAAGAAAAAAGGCGGCGTGAAGTGTCAAATTTAAGCTTTTCACTGGCGCCACTGATCAATATAAATTTTAGAAGGGCTATATAAGAATAATTTGGACAATCCATAAGTGCACGCCTCATGAGCGTTGCATTTAATTTTGATGATTAAAATAAATTACCTCTAAGTAGCAATATAAAATGATTTATTAAAAAATATAACATGGATTTATTAGTGTGTTTTCTTGATATACGCCTATTTAATAATTGTATGAGTGCAATATAGTTTTGATAGAGACATTTTAAGACCATAAAATTGCTTGACCTTGACGAATAACACTTTGCGTTATAAGGCGTGCAATGACAAGAAGTAAAATATGATAACCTGTGGAAAACGAATAAACTGGCCATACAATTTTTATAACGTGGTAGAGCCATGCTGCAGCTACATTAGTAGTATAGTTGTAGCTCGAATGGGTCGGCTCAACCGGGGAAGGGCCACGCTCTCATAGAATACCAGCGTAAAATAGCAGCTTAACACTACTGTGTTTCGTATGGTGAGTGTAGAGAACCGGAGAACCGTTTTACTGAAAAAGAGGCATTCCATCTTAGTCCTCACGGGTGACAACGCATCTGCATTTTGATTCGCAAACGAGGATAGATGTATCTATTACTATAAAATATAGACCGGCTAGAACTGGGCTTGTCGCTGTAGAATTTTCTTACCTAATGAAACCTGCCTGGAAAGGTGTTTGGATAGGTACCACCTTCAACTATACTGTGGGTATACTGCCAATATACAGCCCGGCACCCAGTGTCGGTCTAAAGGACAGTATCATTACGGCTTAGCGGCCGGTGTTCATAAGGTGGACTGCAAGTTCATCACTATATAGTGTTATTTTTTTTTTATAGGATCGAGTGATAAACGAGCACACAGTCCACTTGATGGCAAGTGCAGTGACCCATTAACATCTACGTCTATCCTCGATTAAGAAACAAAATGCAGACTGATAACTAAGATGGAATGCCATTTTATGAGAGCGTGGGTCATCCCCGGTCGGTAGGTTCGCGCTACAACCATAATATAGCTGCAGCATGGCTCTACAACGCATATACCGTAAATTATATTATGCGTTATTATCCGTGAAGAATATACATATATAAAATATATTCTTCACGAATATACCTTTTATATCTTCCGACATGCATTACTTCACGAAATTCTCTAAAGTAAATCGTGACATAAAATTGTAATTAACGGATTCAATGGTGCTGGCGGGGATCGTATCCGGGTTGCTAGCGTAGTGTAAAGTTTATAAGCGGGCGCTGAGCTATAACGGCATATTTGCAGTGGTATAAATGCTCAATAAAAAAGATGACGGTTTATTACAAGCAATGTCCTTGGTTTATTCGTGGTCCTTAAAATTGCGAACTAATGTATTGTTTAATGTAATGTAATAAATAATAAAATAGAAATTAAGTTTATTTTTAACAGTAAATTAAAATACGAAGTAAACTAAACAGTCTACTCTATAAATACTTACCAAAATGATGCTAGGCATTGCATAATCAACAGCATGACCCAGTTGACGGAGAGGCTGCCGATGCCGTTGATTATAGCTGCCGAGCTGAGCGTCAAGAGCAGTACCCGACGCCGTCCGAACTTGTCCCCCAAGTAGCCACTAACAATACCACCCAGTACCATACCTATTTAGAATGTGCAGTTTACCGTTACAGGCTATAGATTCCACTGCTGAACATAGGCCTCCCCCATAGTTTGCCTCATAAGGGGGGATATTTGCCATAGTTGGCACTCTTGGCAAGCGGATTGGCAACCGCAGCATTTTATTTTGAGTCGTTATTAGGAAGACGCTGTTGCCCAAAATCTGACGGGATTATGTGGGGTAGTGGATATTCGTACACCGCCACTGCACGGTAAATGTAAAGTTTGAAACGATCTGTAAGATATATATCTTATCCTAAACGCTTATGTTGATTCGCGAATGAGATCAAGACAAGAGTGTATATGCTTTTGATAAGCTAATTCAGTGCACTTTGCTATCTTTGGCTTCAACAACATTTACTATCAGGTGCAATAGTAGTAAACTACTGGCTTATAATAAATCAAATTAAAATCACATTTACTTAAAATGGAAAATCGGTCAAGATTTACTAAAATATACGAATAATTTTTATTTATTTGACCTCAAGAAATGTCGTCATTTACTGTTACTAAAAAGTAAGTACTAAAAACTATGATTCTTAAAAAAAATACAATTAGGATAACAAACTAGCATACGTAGACTGTATGCTGTATGCGACGGTAATTGGATGCTGTGCCTCATAGACATCCACATCTATCCTCAATAAACAATCAAAATTCAGATGTATTGTCACTCCACAGGACTAAAATGGATGCCACGTTTCCAGTAAAAAGAGTCTACGGTTCTTTACAATCACCATACGAAACATAGTAGCTACAATCTGCTATTTTTTACCCTGGTATTTTGTGAGAGCGTGTTAATTGAAATTGACATTTATAATTTGATAGCCAAAGATCCTATAGTCTAGTCAACAGCTTCAAAAACTAAATACCTATTTTTGATCTTATTTTGTTAAAAAGTTTTTGTGTGCTAATAAATCCTCGAGACAAACTTTTTTCTAGGCGTCATTACGAATCGAATGTGCTACATATCGTACATATTTTAAGAGCGGGAACAAGAATTAACACGGTTTTGAACTTGTCTAGACTACTATTAGTTATTAGGTTATTTGATTACCGTGTTTCGTAAAAGTTCTGTTGTAGATTAATTTTACTTTTTACTTGACTTTAAAAAATGTATGGGATCTAAATAACCTTAGCATTATAGTTTATTTAAAGTTCACTCCTAAACATGGGGCTCCCCCATAGATTAGCTCGTAGTTTGATAACCGCAGTTTTTTTTGTTTTTAATCAGCTATATATCATGAAGGTGCTGATTCACATCTCTTGATTCAGATTCCCTCTGACACCTGTTACGACAACCACGGGATTATATGGGGTAGTGGATATTCTTACATCACCACGACGCGGTCGGATTTCAATAATTCAATTTCAAAGATCATTCCAGCTTATAACAATGCCACCGCTGACCGCTCTCAGATCTCTACAAAGACAGTTCTCAACAACTGGTGGCTAAGACAAATGCAACAAAGCACTGTCGTATGCCGCCTGTATACAAAGACTCCCTGAATGTCTTACCAGGTCGTCACTCCATCTAGTGGGGGTCGCGCTATACTTCGCCTACC